CAGATTAGCTGTTGCTGTTGGTGGTCTGATGAAGATATAGAACAGACATTTTTATATATACAGTCTCACTGAATTTACATGCATTTGAATGCAGTATCTGGATCATGAAATCTCATTGTTAAAGTTATCATTGATAGTTTATTGATTTCATAGGATAATATGACACCACTTTCCAAAAAAGTAACCAGTTACTTCACAGGTAAGATCTTCTTGTAGAGTCATAAAATTTCATATGCTTGAAGTCCTGCGTATTGGAAAATGTGCACAGCAGTATTATGAAGGGAAGAACCGGTGTGTCTAAGCTACAGCTGCCACTATAGATCTGCAGAGTGTCTTATTTAAATAGCTCACACCCATTGTCTGCCTGCTATAACAAATAATTTGATTATTCCATATGTTCTGAGAGTGTTGGTCCATATAAAGAAAAAGGACTACTGGTCCTTTGATAAATTCCAAAATGTACTTATTCCCTCTCTAATTTAATTAATAGAAGCAGGACTGGACCCGGTGAATTTCAGTCATATATAACGAACTAATGCTTAAAATGTACTAAATTATGCCACATTACAGACCCACACCCCCCAAAAAACCTCTACTTTGTTACTAGCTGCAGCCATGTCTCAAAGTAGAGAGGACAGCTGTGAAATAGCTGACAAGGCATAAATTTAAACATTTGTGTACTTCCTATAGCATAGCCATAGCATCAGCTACCAATAATCCTGATGTCAGGCAATAGGGGTGGAGTTGGCTCACACATACTGTACTCACTGCTAGCCAAGCAGGAAGCCCTGTATGACATCCAATCAACAAGTGTTCTAGGCCTGCCTCAAAAAAAGTGGAATCTTTCAAACTAAAGGGATTCTGCCTGGCTCCTCCAGACAGGGATACTATCAGAGGCCCTTTACTGCAGAAATTGGTAGTGAATTCATTAGAGGGACAATCAGAAGCCCATATTTGTTAAAAAAACAAAAAACAAAACTTTCTTCACATTTAAAAAACATAGTTCTACTTTGAGCCTACCAGTGTTTGATTTAATTTTGTTTACACTATTGTATCCCCTTCTCCAGGAGATGCCTGTAATTTAAGAATAAACAAAGACATGCTGTTAGTTTGCCCCTATATAAATTATCAGAATTGCTTGCATTTCTGGCATTTTAAAATGTTTGTAAGGCTAAATGCAGTGCTGAGATGTCTGACTCATAGGATATAACAATTCAATAATTCTGCAAATAAATAATTCTGCAAATAATTAATTCTGCAAATTCTTTATGTAATACTTGAGTCATGCATCAAAAAACAGGCATGTTTCACTGGTGGGTTGGACCCAATCCTGCTTCTATCAAAGTTCATATGATTTTGTCAAAGGAAACAGAAGCAAACCAGGAAAATGACGAATAAAGAAATAAAAATGTTTAGAATAATCTAAAGAAATGTATACTATCCAAATCAGATTTTTTTTCTGACTTGGATTTTGTTTCCATTGTTATGTAATTTAAACATTTTGAACATTAACATGATTTTCAAATGCTTTAATTTAGACGGTCTCATCAAGAAATATACTAAAATGCATAAAATAACTTTGCAAAATACCAATTTAATCATTCAAATGATATTCTATAAATTATGAATTATATCTTTTGTAACTGACATCTTCTTTGGCTTTCTTGGAGAAGCACATTTAGTTAAAAAGACATTCTTCCATTATGAAAATAAGTCAGAAACAGAAAGCCACTTGGGTGGTTTTGCTCAGTGAGAATGGAAAGTCTACAAGCAGCGCTTTGCAACTTTAAACACCTTGGAGCAGAACAAACAACTGCCAACACTCGGGCTGTTTGCAGAAGACTGATGATCAGACAGTCTGCTTTTTAAGAGTTATTTTCTGATTAGATCTTACACATCAAGGCAACACAATTCAACTAAAATGGAAAGAGTATTTCTTCCCCCCCCCCCAAAAAAAACAAAACAAAACAGTCCTTTCAGTGCGTTTGATCTTTGATTTCCTAATTGGCACTAGATAACTCCAAACAGGATGCATCTACATGTGCTTTACTGTGCAGTAAAGTGTCATTGTCTAAATATGCACAGCGATTGGGCCAGTGTAGACTAATTTACAGAGCCGCTGGATAGTCCTGTCAGACAGAGGTACTATCCAACAGTGGAGAAAATTACTGCGCTTAACTGCATGTGTAGACAGTGCCGTCAGTATTAGTTTGCTCTGGCTCACATTGCACCAGAGTTTATTCATTCACATTAATTGTACCTGTAGACGTGCCCACAGTTACAGGCACAAACAACTTTCCATTGAAGTGCAGACATCTGAGATGAGGATCTGTCAACAGTTTAATATTAATTTCTCAGTAATGCAATTAACTAAACCAATTACAATAAATTATTTTTAACATTATTTGTTAGGACTATTTTATGCTTCCTCACTGAAAACAAACTAATGGTCTCAAATTCTCAATAGCAAAGAACTGGGTGGCCATCTTAAATTTGGCAGCCATTTTGGGGTAGTTTTAAATAGCCTTATATCCAGATTTGATCAATAGATCACATTTTAGAAATGTGCCAATTTTGGTAAATACAATCACAAACGGGAATCTTTTGAAATTATCATTTTTTTTCTGCTGGAATTCAGAAAGGGATAGAATTTGTAACTGCTATGTTTCTTTATTTGCAAAGGAAGACGTTACAATAAAAAAGAACTATTAACATTGACTCAATGTCAGGATCAGAAAACAAAGGAGAGAGAGCTGTAGTTCTATCAGGTCAGAAGATTTTAAGTCTTGTGATATTTTAGATTTTTGTTTCAACACAGGCTGCTGAAATTAAGAGACAAATACATTTCTAGTCTTTGTAGTTGCTGGGGAAAGGTTGTAAATTTGAAGTGAACCCTAAAGATTCAGCAATGGGAAAACAAAAAGCACCCAGAATGTATTATTGAAAAAATGGTGTTTCACTGATGTAATTATTTGGGAGAGGGGTGACTCATGGTTGTTTGAATGTGGCTGTCATTTTTACAGATAAATACATTATGGCAGGACCAATGAGCCTCAATCATATTCGGGATCCCTTGTGCTAAGTGTGGTACAAACACAACGCCAACACCTGGCTCTCTGACACCAAAGAACCTCCAATATAAGATGCGACAACAGATAAATACAGATAAACAGATGCAGAAGTACAAGGAAATGATCCCCGTCAGCAATAGGCAGTGATTTCAGCATGCCTATTTGCCTAAATGATATTTTTAGGCATAATGGCAGAAGACAGTTTTCAGAAAAGACTTGAAGAACTCAGAGGAGCCTCTTCTAAGCCTGAGTTACAGCCTAGGAGAAAGCATGCAGATTTCTGACTGAGAATGTAACATGAAATTTAACAGGAAACGCTGCCAATGAAACCAGGCCAATGAGTCTTGGGAGCTGAGGTCTGACAACGACAAAGAGCTAACCGGTAATATGGGGATGGGCTATGAATAACCGTGAAAATGCTGACAAGTGGCTTTTGCGTGGTCCATTTAATAGAGTTGAGCTGGTAGAGGGATGTAAAAAAGGTGAAACGGCCTAAGTGCTGAGCTGGTAAAATCATATTTACCGTAGTTTTGAACTGGCATGAGTGGGGAAAAAAACCTTTTTCTTGAGAGGGCCAGGGAAAAGGCTTCGGTAGTAGGCAAGAGTGTGGGATGATGACAGCCTGAGTGAGAAGGCCGTGTAAATGGACAGGATGGCCTTTTTGTAGAGATGATGAAGGAAAAGGAACAGGAAAACTTTAAGCATGACCTTCACTTGATGGTGCGGCGAGGACCAAATTGACAGCAGCCCACAAATTAGAGGCCTGAGAGGAAGGTTGATGGCCATGGCATTAGGTTTTGGGTAATGCTGCAAGATGGGGAATTACTAAAAGCCCTAGATAAAAGCTGTGATGCACAGTGCGGTGTCCTGTTAAGTGCAGCAAGCTGCTTGAGGTTTTGTCAACATTTTTATTAGCAAACAAGGGGCCTGTTGAGAATTTTGCGACTGTCATGGGGCTGCACTGCCACCTTGGATGTGGAGAAAAATGCCACCGAGGATGCGAAGGGGCTTTGGGAAAGGGAGGGGGGCGGACCCCAGGCTGCTCCCGGCCCCGCTCTGCGCTAGGGACGGTGTTGAACTGGGCTTGAGACTGGTCCCCGAGGCCGGCTCCCGGCAGGTGTCAGCCGGGGCGGGGCCTTCAGTGAGCTGGGGCTGAGACCGCGGGGAAAGGGCAGCAGCAGGAGCGGCGCCGGTGGGGCCGCTCGGGTCGCAACAGGCGGGCAGAATGCGCTGCGGGCACACGGGCAGCCCAGCCCAGCCAAGCCCGCCCCCCGCTCGTACCCCTCCCGCGCGCGCCGCTGAGGCACGACGGTTAAAACCGTTACAGCTCCCACTTTCGAACTGATTCAAACTCGGCAGCGCCGAGCAAGGGCAGCCCTTCCCCCGCCCCTTCCCTTCGTGACGCAAATGACAGTCTCAAGGCTCCCCGCCGCGCCCCCAGCCCCTCTCCTCTCCCTGCGCGCGTCCAGGGCCGGCGAGGAGCGGGGCCAGTGCAGGGGGGACGCTTGAAACTCCCCCTCCCCGCACGTAGCGCGAGAACAAAGGGCTCCTCCGCCCCCCTCCCTCCCGCACGTGTGGAGCGCTGGCCCC